AATATTATTTAAATTAAGAAATAATATTATTTTTAATTATATAAAGCAAACCAAAATGACATAATTCAATTTATCAAAATAAGAAAAAATGTGACTATGCTTACAATAATACTAATCCGTTTGCATTTTTAAATATTAGTATAATGTGATAATTTATATATATCCTTAATACTAATCCGTTTACATTTTTAAATATTAGTATAATGTGATAATTTATATATATCCTTACAAACATTATTAAATAATACGAATTAAAAAAAAACCCAATCTAAATATTTTTTTTTATTACTGTCTATTTTAATTTTAATAATTTTTTTATTTATCAATTTGATTTTGACAACCATAAATTGAAAAAATCTATTTATTTATTCAAATTACATCTACATAAAAAATTATAATTTTTAAGCGTAATAAAACAAATTTTGGCACTAAATTAAGTGAAAATAGACATTTGTTCTCACTTATTTATAGTAAAATATATCATATATTTTTTTTGCATCTCATTTATCATGAACTAATTAATAAAATTATTTTATACACCTTTTGTTAAGTTACCCAATTAAATAATCATTTTATGTAAAAAAATCAAGTTAACCTTTAATTTAAGTTAAAAAGAAATGTGAAAGAATTGTATGTTAGTTATATTTATCTTTTATAATTTATTAAAAAATAAACTAAATGTATTGTTAGGAAATAATGGTAATATACCTTTTTAACATTTACTAAATTTTTTTTTTAAAAAATGTTTCTAATAAACATAAATTTAAATAATTTTTATCACTCACTCTTTGAGAAAATTGTAAATTTGGTCCCAAAACTTTTGTGGTTTCTCACATTTGGTCCCAGGCTATAAACGTTGACCGTCAAGTCTTGACGGAGTGGGACCATTTTGGCAACGAAAATTCAAAAAGGACCATAATTGGCGTGCCTGGGACCAAATGTGGGGAACAGCAAAAGTTTTGAGACCAAATTTGCAATTTTCTCTTAAATGTAAGGAATCTCACACCTTTTTCATCCGAATGGGAAATAATTATAAATGGCTCAATAAAAACAATTATGTTTGATTCAGCTAACATGTAGAAAATTAATTCAGATCCTAAAACACGCAAGCCTATACCAGTCGAAATTGCATAGACATAATTTGGGTATCAAAATTCTCGTGTGAGAATGTCTAACGGTTAGACTTGTCGAGTACCAGTTATACTTTCTAATAAACTGCATACTTATATTAAGATGAAATCTCATATTATTGTTTAATTCAAGTAATAAAAATCAATATGTGTAACAGTTAGGTCTATCTAACAGCTAACAACTGACTTAATGAATTTGGATTAATCAGCCAAGAGTTAAGATAACATGCAAACAATTAATTGGTTTAGACAGTTTATCACAAAAGAGAAAGAGCAAGTTGCAATGCAATAATAAACTCTGTTTCAATTTCATGTTCAAATTTTAAAATTTCACTTAATAAATTACTTGTAGAAACCAGGATTAGTACAACTGTGTGGGATTTTCCTAGCTCACTAATATTGAGCAGTCAATAGTCAATACTCCAACTCATCAGGTGAAAAATCAAAAGTACAACCTTTTCAGCCAGGGTGAATGCAATAAATACCAATAATTAAATACGATTTTGCCTTTTCTGTTTTGATCCATGCACCTAAAAGTTTTGTAGTCTTTGTAAGGAAAACGTAGAAATAATTTTTGCAGCTATTTTTTGGGGGATAATATAATTAATTAATACTCCAAAAAAAGTTGAGCACATGCCTGTAATAATGGTGGTGCCTTTTTTCGAAACACCATCTTAGCATGTGCAGTTATGCTAAGAAAGTACGCAACTTGGATTAATTATAATAAATTAATTAAACATGTGGAAAATGATATAGATCCCGTGACCACCTTTAGACGTGGTAGGATCATAATTACAGTGTCATTAATACTCAAAAGTTGAGCTAACACGCAATGATTATTAATTAGGTGAATCTCATCTCATTCAAACAAAGTAGCGTACAATCCTAACAACATCTCACAAACTTTTCAGCCAGGAGTTAAAAACAAATAATTACTAATGAAGACAAAATCCGCCTTTACCATATATCTGATGAAAGTAGAGAGAACCTGCCGTGAAAACGTGCAGAATTCAAATTTTTTTTATAATGTACTTAGATCTGACGACAATGAATTTATAACGTGTCGTGACAATGTTCCGATCGCTAAGTAAACAGAATATTTAATTTTATTTTTAATTATAGGATAGGATAATGTACTTGGATCTAACAATGAATTTATTACAACCTAAAAGACATTAATGTTAGCTCTGCCTCTCCATTCAGCTTCGTCATATATAAAAGCCCAACACTCCCAAAAGTACACTTCACATCATCACGAAAAGAAAAAAGTAGCTAAAATCCTAGCACGATGAAGTCGATAATTCTAAGCCATATGCGTTCTTCTAGCATGCCTTCAAGACCTTATTACCCTCTAATCCCCGAATTCAAACTCCATTTGCAAAAGATAAAATCCGATAATTTTCCCACCTCTTCTTCTTCATCTCTATCCTCAATCGCCGAAAAAATGAAAGATCTCGAGCAAATCCACGATTTGATCGACAACTTACTTATTCTCCCACATACCCACCAAATTTTCACCCGAGAAAGCCACGAAAAATGGGTCGAACAAATCTTGGACGGATATCTGGGCCTAGTGGACGCTTGTGCCACCGCTAAAGATTTCATCTCCCAATCCAAAGATTACATTTCGAACCTCCTTTCAGTCCTAAGGCGAAAGCGTGGCTCTGAAAATCTTTCCGAGTTCATCTCCTCAAGAAAGACGATCAAGAAACAAATACAAAAATCGTTGAGAAAACTCGGGAGCTATAAAAATAGCCCCTCTGTTTTAGAAACAGGGGACAAAGATCAAGAAACAATTGCAATCATCGGCATGTTGAAGGAGGCCGAATCGATTACTCTAGAGTTGATCGAGACACTTTTGTCGAGCATTTCTCGTTCGAAAGACGGTTCGAGGCTAAGTAATTGGTCCCTAGTTTCGAAGCTTGTGGGGTCGAGAAAAGTTTCGTGCCACGAGCATAAGAGTTCGATGCTCGGGTTTGAAGATTTGGATGCTTCGTTGAGTAAAATTTTTAGTAAATGCGAGACGGGCTCGAAAATCGAGGAGTTGAAGCAACAGTTGAGGGAGATGGATTTGGTTATTGCAGTGATTGAGGAAAGATTTGAGAGTTTGTTCAAACGTTTGATTAAGTCGAGAGTTTCACTGCTTAACATGCAGAGCCAGTTGTAGTTAGTCGATGGCTTATCGTCAATAGAAGATAGTTTTTGCCACAGTAGAACTTTTTTCTTTTCTTTTTTTTCTTTACTCTCGGCAGATAGTTTTTGCAGTTTGGGTCTCACAAGAATTTTTTTTTTTTTTTTTT